TGCTTTCTGCTTGTGTCTCTATGTCCAGCACTTAGCACAGTGCCTGGCACACAGTAGGTGCTTACTAAATGCTTGTGGATTTGACTCAACCTGACTTGTACTGGCCCCAGAATTGGACGGTGCTGCTGCCTTGAGCTGTGTCCAGCCAGGGAGCTATGGTCTTTGCTCGGTGGTGGCCAGTCACAGCCCTCGCCTTTGCTATGGGAGAACAGGAACCTTGTGACCTTAGTTTTAGATTTAGAAGGAATGGATGTGAGAGGTCATCTTATTTAACTGGAGGAAACAAGAGGTCACACGATAGTGAATGGGCAGAGGCATGATTGGAACCCAGTCCTTTTGTTTCCAAATCCACTGGGTTTTTCCTGCTCTTTGACATCAGTTCCCCCAGAGTTGTCATTACTGCTCTGTTCCAGTATTTTAGCTAAAGGTCCAAACCTAGGCTTTCTGGGCTCACTCACTAGGGCTGGGATCTTAGTACCTAGGATCCTGAGAGACTGCTGTTTACCTTGGCCTGCAGCTGACTTACAGAGGAAGTAGATTTGATTAGGTAGCTGGGGCCAGTCCCTCACGTGATCCTTTTCTGATAAGCATGTGCTCATGAGGGCATCCCAGTCTGGGAATAGCTGGCCCACCAGGCTCTGAGCTCTTCCCCTTCTCCACTCCCAGAATATTTCTTTTTACCCAAGACCACTTGTTTGGGATCAGAAAGCACCCCCTTTTCCTGGATAACACTGGAGACACGGGCGTCTTCTCCATCTCTTGTCTGTGTAGGCAGGCCCTGACTGGGCATTCTTTGGGGCACATTGTCCTTCTGCCTAGTTGCCCTACCCATATCACGTGGGAATTTTCTATCCAACACTACCTAAGTTGTTATCACTAATTCCTCCTGCAAGTTCATGGTCACTCAAAGCATTTTCACAGGCCAGCCCATTAGAGCCCATATCAGTGCTTGTAAAGATAATCATGCTTGCCGGTTAAAGGATCAGCCATTTATGGGGTATGATCAAGATGGCTCCCAATGGCAGCTCTGGAGATTTGGCAGCCTCCTTGCCTTTTGGCCTTGGGGCCTCAGCACCCAGCCCATGTTGGGACTGTGGGCCTTCTTTTGTAGCTCATCTGCCCAAGTACAGGTTGTGGTTCTCTTGTTCAGAAGCCCTTCCCTTTATTTTTTCCCATCACTCTCCATGGGCAGTTTCCCCATGAAGGCTCTGCATGTCCAAAGTGGGGTAGGGGATGCTGCCAGGGCTCCTTTGGGCAAGGGGCTCCATGTGGTTCCTTGTAGTCAATTTCTTCAGACTAATTACCTTACAGAAGGGAGGTGGCAGCCAATCTTCAGGAGAACCCCACTCTTCCACCCCAGGTGGACCTTGGGGCCCATGAGTTGCTACTGGCAAACCCAGTGGGCTCCTTCCTCCTTGAAATCTTTCTTTCCCATTGTGGGTTCCTTTTCTCTTGATCTCATTTTTCTCATATCCCATGATATCTAGTGAGTCAACAAGCATTTATTAATTGCCTGCTGTGTGCCAGGGACTATGCTAAGTACTGAAGATACTAGGAAAGGCAAAAAAACTCCCAATAACCCTCCCCCACCCCAAGAAAACCCCAAAGCCAAAAAACCCAGTCCTTCCCTCAAGGAGCTCAGGGGCTAATGGGGGAGACCCAACCAACAAAAAATACACCAGACAGATTGGGGTATTCTCAGGGAAGGCATGGAGATTGAAGAGGGCTGGGAAAATGTGTTAGCAGAAGGTGGCACTTGGGTGGTACGGAGACGAGGGTGAGAGAGGGAAGGCATGGAGACTGAAGAGGGCTGGGAAGACGTGTTAGCAGAAGGTGGCACTTGGGTGCCACGGAGACGAGGGGAGAGAGGACCGGGTACGAGGGGAGAGAGGACCGGGTACGAGGGAACGGTGCTTTGTGCATTTGTAGTCATACGCTGCTATGTTATAGGCCTCTCTTCCACGTGTGTAGTTTGGGTCCCTTCGTGCTGGTCCCTCCTTTCCGTGTCCTCCTCCCCTCCCACGAAAGATCGTAGCTTAAAAGGCCAAGGGCTCCCATTGCATCCTGGGCCATCTCCAGTTGTCCTGATCTAGATCTGGCCATTGGATCCAGGTGGCTCTGGAGGAGAAAGTGAGTCTGGTGACCTTGCACAGCCCTCCCTCACTGTAATCCAGTTCATGTGCAAGTCATGGCATCACCTTGCTGATGCCCTGTGGTCCTCTTGGAGAATCAAGGACAAACAGCTGCCCCTTCCACCGGGGCCAGGATGGCGTCACTCTTGGCCTTTGTACTCCTCGTTGCTTGTAACTAGGAGGCATTTAAGAAACATTTGTTTGAGTGACCTCTAGGGAACTACTCTCATTAGTAACATGTTTCCCAGTGTCATTTTGAAATAGCTTACTTCTTACAAAAATTTCCTACAGACAGCTAAACCTCCTCATCTCTTGATGGGTCCCGGTTTGTTTCCATCCAGGCTCCATCCTCATCATCCAGGCTGATCTTTGTCAGTTTTGCCTTTGCCCTAAATTCTGGTTTTCATTCTTGGGTCCATCTCATTCCAATGTCTATAAGCCTTGGTGTGCCAGCTCCCTGCATTCCTGGTTCCCTTGCCCGCTTTAACCTTTCTCATATCTTGTAGCAGAGGTAGCTTAAGATTGTACCCAAATTTGTGGTGTGGAATGAGCAGAGCTACCCACGAGGCCCATGGTGAGCTCTCAGTTACGAAAGAGAATGTGAAAGTTTTGCTGCCATTATATTGTTGGTGATAATGCTTATGATGGACTTGGTCTAAGCAGCTCAAAGAGGTTTGTTGGGGGCGCTGTGCTGAAACTGTTTCTTAATGGAACAGGGAGACGCTTGTTAGAGGGGATCAGGTGAATAAGCTGCCTCCATCTTCCTGGAGCCAGGCAGGTCTAGACGTTACATAGGCGCTTCTGATGAGCTCTTCTGTGGCTCTCGTTCTTTGGCTGTTCTGTAACTACTCTTTTTTCCCGAATCTCACCTAGGGATGGTGCGTTGACTCCGAGTTGGAAAGGATTGTGTCCGAGATGAGCCATCCAGGAGGTTAAAGGGGTCTTTATTTTGGTCATTTTGTGGCTTTGGTCACCGACGTTCAAATCCGGCTCCATCCGCTCCCTGCATCCGGAATGTTCCTGACGCTGTCCAGAAAAAACATGTCCCAGAAGCTGAGTTTGCTGTTGCTGGTGTTCGGCTTCATCTGGGGGCTGATGTTGCTTCACTACACGTTCCAGCATCCAAGACATGCCAGCAGCGTGGAGCTGCGGGAGCAGATCCTGGACTTGAGCAAAAGATACGTGAAAGCTCTGGCTGAGGAGAATAAGAGCCTCGTGAACGGCGAGAATGGGGCGTCGCTGGCGGGATACGGTAAGGTGGTGGCCTTTCAGCTTTTTCTTCCCCGTGAAATGTGATAGAGGGCGGGCTGTGCTCTCACTCAACAACCTGCGTGCCTCCTGCAGCCTCAGTCTGTTCAGGCCACTGTGGCACAGGTGGCAGTCACTGCACTAAGCTCTCTGAGTTGGTGACACATTCGCACGCTTGTTGGGAAACTCCAGGAGAGATGCTTCCTCTTTTCTGGTCTAGACACTGCCCTGGTCTGGCCACGTGTGTGGCCAGTCTGAGGGTGGTGTATATATGCACCTTGGAGATCCATCAACATGTAAGCTGTTTACCGGGAGCTGCTGTTTGTTCTTTGCACTTGTATCCACAGAGTCTAGGCCTGGCACCTAGTAGGTTCTTCACAGATACTTCCTGATTGATTGAGTAAGCCTGAAAGCCTACCCACCCCCTCATCCTCTTGTTCTTCCCACCATTTTTGCCCTTTCTGAAGTGGTGAATGCTTTATTCTTTAGCTTTTTGGTTAGGAAAAAAAAGCAAAAAAAAAACCACAAGCAAAGTAGAGAAAACCAGGAAAGGAGGAGGAAATGGCAAGAAAAATGTATGAATTCTCTTACCCCTCAAAGAAGTAGTTTACCTTCAGTTTAAAGCTTCTGCATAAATCTTTAGTGACAATTAGTCAGGGAAATGGGGACTATTTTACAACTTTGTTTCCACTAGAGAAGTCTTGAATTTCACCACCAGAAGCTCAACTTCTCCAGGTATTTAAATGAAAACACCTCCCAAGTAGACTTCTGGCTTGGCTTAAACTAACTGCCTGCTGAATTTAAAAGTAAATTAGATTTACTTTGACTAAGTAAAGATCTCCTAATCTCTTCCTCCTTTATTTAACCCTAATTCTGTTCAGCTGGGAACCAAGGAATGGACACCCCCCCCCCCCCATGGGAGGATTCACTCACAAAGGATTGCTATGCTCCTGTACTTACTAATCCATGGGCAAGAATTTCCTAAGGCCTGCTGTGTGATAGGTACCATGCCAGGCCCTGGCATCCAGAGACAAAGAATGACACAATCTCTTCTCGTAAGTAGCTTACCACAAGTACTTACAGAGGACGCCATAAACACAAAGTGAATAAATACAGCGTAGTTTGACAGGGATGGCTGAGAAAGAGAGGAGAGATAATATGCTGGCTGGCCCAGGAGGCCTACTGAAGGATTTTGAGGGATGAGGGAGACTTGAGCACATTTGAAGGCACTAGGGAAAGAAACAGTGGATAGGGAGAGATTGAAGTTTGGTGGGGAGGATGTCGGTGATTGAGGTTGCTGTCTGCTGAAAAAGATGGTAGGGGGTGGGGTCAGGTGCACACATCCGGGCTTTGGCAAAAGAGCCACCTCATTGTCAGACCAGGGGACAGGAGGGTGACAGTTGGGGCTTTGAGATGAAGGGAATGGGTAAGTGGGAGCTCCTTTCTGATTGGACTGTTTTATCAGAGGCAAGGTCCTCAGCTGAGAGAGAGGGACAAGGAAGTTGGTGTGGGAGGCTGAGGAGAGGAGATAATATTTGGAATAGCTTCCGTGGGCTAAGAAGATACTTAGCTCCAAAAGTTCGAAAGTGATGAAGCAATTTCTTTTATTGTTATCAAATTTCACCTTGATGCTTTCAAGCCTGAAATCAGAGCCTTTTTCAAAAGAGCAGGTTCTAAAAAACAGAGGTTCTTGGCCCTGGGGTTTGTGAACTTGTTTTAAAAATACTTCGGTATGAAGCGTGCTGATACTGAGTATACAGTTTTTCAGTATAATTGGTTTCTTTTGCAAGCCTCTGCCTGTTGTGCACTTAAAAAGCCAATTCTAATAAGAGCTTCATGGGCTTTACTGGCCTGACTGCCCCGGGGATTATTGCCACAAAACCAGTCAAGAAGCCCACTTATAAATGTCTGTGCATGGCCCCTGTGATTGATACCTGGGTCCTTAGCCGGAGCCCTGAATCAGCAAGGCTTTTCTACAGGGTGATTTTGTAGGTGTGGATTCTCCTTCCCTGATGAAGATTGCAGCCACTTGGAGAGTCAGCAGAAGGTCCTCGAGGGGACCCCGACGTATCACTTTCTCGTCACTTTCCAGACTTGGCTGACAGAGTCAGTATGACTGTCTCCGATGGCAGCCAGATGGGGCAGACACAGGCCTAGACTGTCCCTGTGGAGTAAAACATTGAAGGGAGAGTCAAGGAAGGTGTTGGGTTGAAGCAGGTGGGAGACGAGTTCTAGTGCCTGCCCGCATCTTCAGTCATTGCTTATCTCAAACAGCTCATTCTCTGGTGATGCGAGATTATGGAGACTTGACTATACACAGTGTTTTCGTTGTGCCAGTAAAAATTACTAAATGTCTGTCTCCCGAGCCAGATAGGGGCTAAAAGAGAGCACGTCTGTTTTTCTTCCTCTGCTGGGCTGCCAGGAGCCAACAGGTGACCTGGCCCGCCAGTGACTGTCACAACCCAAGCAGGGCTTCTCCGGCTCACTCGCACATGCCCGCGTCCTTGTCCTCACTGCCAGCAGTTTTTTCTTGACCCTTTACTCTTGTTTCTAAACCTCATGCTTCCGGTCACTGTGTTTCTGCCTCCCATGCAGCCAGCTGCCACGCCTCACCCTGCCTGGCTCCACATCAGTGCCCTTCTCTGTGTTCACAGGGTCACCCCCAGCCGAGCTAGCTTTCTCCTGGCCTCCCTTGTCCCTAATCCATCCATTGTGCAGCTGCAAGGGATTTTCCTAAAGCACTAGTTTGACCAGGTCAGTCTGCTCCCAGTAAGTTGCAGCTATGTCCTCTTCAGGCCTCCAGCACTGCAGGCCAACAGCCTCTGCAGGCTGATTATCTACACTTCCTTTGGTGCCCTTTCCAGGCCAGCCAAACTGGCCCGCCACTGCCCATACCCTTCTGTCTGTCCTCTGTCTCCCACCTCTTTGCCTTTGTTCAGGCTGGTGCCGGTGGCAGGAATCTCTAGCAGTGTGCAGCTCAGTGACCCCTCTGCCAGGAAGCCTGCCCTGCTGCCCTCATCCAGACTGCTCTCTCTTGGGCATGTAGTTTGTGGACATGTTTCCCCTTAGAGGGCAGGATCGTTTGGTTTTGTCCCCATGCTCCCCAGCTTAGCGTGATGGCTGGCATGTAGTATTTAATTAAATTCATGTTCTTTGGTTTTTAAGATTGTGCATACACATAAATAGAGGTATTTGAACATGCATGCATGTGTGTGTATCCACATACACATGCAGCTCCCTTTTTGGCCTTTCTGGAGTGTTCTTACGAGAAAGTGAATTTGGATACCTCACAATAGCCACATACAGAGCACTTTCAAATTTGCAAACCGCTTTACATGTATTACCTGATATGATCCTGGGAGGAAGATGCTGTAATTATACCCATTTTATAGATGAGAAAATTGAGGCTAAGAGAGGTTAAGGGATTTACCCAGGGGCCCCATATTTTCTGGGAATGAGAGAAACCGGTTTCTCTAGCCATTCAGTTTTGTTAATGGAGTGCCCATGGCATCCGTGGTCTGTTGTACCCTGAGCACAACTTGGGTAGCATCACTATATAAGCAAGTAAGGATCGGGAGGATCTCTTGGCCGCCTTAACTTTTCCCTTCTCTGTTCAGTTTGGACCATTCCCTCACCCACACCCACCCTCCAAATGCTTTTACACCCGATGGCCGACCCCAGTGCCTTTGTTTAATATTTTATATTTATCATCTTTATCAGTGTAATATGCCTCTGAGTGAATATAGCTCTCTAATAACTCTATTTCTTGCAATCTGGCAAGTAAAATTTTATAAAAAATAGTCCACCCTAAATACTCACAGTCCACTGAAGTTTGCTTTTGAAAGAACGGTTTAGACTGACTTTGAAGAGTGTCACAAGTTATAGAAAACACAGGATGTTCGGCAAATGCCCAGTGGCTGCTGTTGCTAAGTGTTTGGAGAACGGCTGGCAGAGGGCACCTTCCTCCACTGGAAAACCAGCTTAGGAATCTGGTAAATAAAGCAGAGAAAATGGAGAGTAGACTTTGCATTCAGAACAAGCAGCTCAAGGGAAGTTGGTCAGAGGATTCAAATTAGGCCAATGGAGATGGTTGGTTGGACTTGTTTGAACCGCTTGGCCAAACACAGCCTGGAGTAAGTTTTCTCCCTTTCATGCATGCGGTGTCTGGTTTGGGCGGCTTGAGCGCTTCTCTGGTGTGTTAGGTCCCCCCTCAGATTTACTGCCACAGTAGGGACAACAGTTCTTACCCTCTTTTGGAATCATTCCTGTTGCAACAGATGCTCAGTTAGCTGCACTAATGAACAGAAGGGAGAGGGCTGGACGTATGTATGAAAGAGCAGAGAACTAAAATATTCGTTATATTTACCTGTGGAAACCAGAGTATGTAAAATAACCAAACTCTTGCCTTTCTAATTATGTTTTCTGTTGTATAATAAAATGATGCTGCATGCTGAGAGACTAAGGGAATCCAGCCTAGGTTTAGATGTCAATATCAGCATTTCACATACTCGTAATCATGTTGTCTATAGTGGTTTCTTCCATCTAACTATTAAGAAGTGGTTTTTGTGATGTCACAATACCATTATTGGCAAAAATAGGCATTTTATAGCAGCACGTTTTGGAATCCTATTTACAATTGTGTGAATTCTGTTTTCTTTGGCACTTTTACACTTAATCCTGTTGTTTACTGATCTGATACCTAGGTAGTAATTGGCAATAATGGATTGTGGTATTACTATTTTTAGGTAGCTCATGATTAGCTGTGGGATTAAGGGGCCTATCATTTATTCTCATTAAATCTTTCTTTTCAAAAAACTATAATTAAGCAGATTAGGTGATCAAGTCCTATTTGCTGGTGTTCGCTATTTTCTTTTACTTCCTTCAAGCCTGTCCTTTCCAACCAAAATATCTAATTATGTTGGTAAACAAGCATTTACAGAATTGTATATTTAGTTGTAACTTTGGTTTTCACATCATCTTCGTTTATAAATAGTCCTCCTCTCACCTCTGCTCCTCAAGCCTGTCTCTGTAACAAAGAATAAAAACTTGAAAGTGGTTAGTTCAACGTGAAATGAACCAACCTCCTCCTCCTCCCCCCAGTCCTGGGCAGCGTCTTCACCTGGAGTCCCTTACCCCTGAAAAGAAAAAGAGAATATCCAATTAACATCCTTTCTCAAGTCATATTGATTTCATTACTGTTTCCAGTATAAGAGAAGGAAATTGGGGGGGGGGGGTGGTAAGAATAGTACCCTCCCTGACAGTCAGAGTGGATGGCTGGATGGTTGTGAAGCAGGCTAATATAGAGTGGGCCATGGGTATCTGTCTGCCCTGGCTCTGACCCACCAGTTAGGGCAGCATGATTCCATTATGGGGGTTTCCAAAGTGAGTGGATTAAGTCACCTAGGTTGTGGAGTCAGGAGGTGTTGGGGTTTGGAGAATGCTTGGCAGGAAGGATGGCAAGGGCGTGCCTGGCAGAGCCAGGATATGAAGCCACATCTTTTGACTAGTCATTGCAGTCTTTCTTCCAGTTCCAGCCTTAGTGGTTGCCAAAGATTGTTTTGTAACAAGCACATTTTCTGCAAATAGGCTGCTCCTATAGAAACTTCAAAAGAGTTTAAAATTTTAATGAAACTGAGAAATCCCTGTGTAGTCTGATTCACATAATTTGTTTAGCAAATTATTTTTTCATAGATAATGGGAAGGTAAGTTTTTACCCTAATTCAAGTCTGAATTAATCACAAATTTTAAGTAAGTGGGCTCTGAATTATTAAGACTTCTTATTTCTCCAGCACTGTATTTGTATACAGAATTGAGTGGATTGTGTTTCAAATGAAATCTTCCTATAAAACAGAATTTTTTTTCAAGTTGTGAGGGTTGATAAAAATGTCATAATTTAAAACCAAGATGTTAGTTGCTAATTTTATAAAATGTTTCCTAAATATCTAATGGTATTATTGTTAAGGTATATGTATGTTTTTTCTTAGCATGACCAAAGATAGAGATTTTTGTCCCCTATGGAAAGAGATCTAACTTGATTCTAAAATCACGTTAGCATTTCAAGGATCAGTGATTTCTTGGGTGAGGGAACTTCCTCCTGATGCAAAGCCGTCAGCCTTGATCATCAGGATGACCTTCAGGAGTTCAGTGGGGCTGGTACTCAGACAGCAGATTTTCTGGTCCATCCATCCATCCATCCATCCATGCATTGCTGGTCCAGGGCTTCAGTCAACTCTTTTCCACTTGGTGGTCCTACTGCTCAGGGATCCTGGATCTAAGCCAGTACCTCAAGCCATTGAATCCAGTCCCTTTATTTTACCAGTGAGGAAACTGAGTCTTGGAGCTGGGAAGAGACCTGCCCATGGACACATTGGGAGTGACTGAGGCTTCTGGTCCCTCGACTCCAAAGCCAGTGTTCTCTTCTGTGTCCGGCCCAGGAACAGTAGGGCCTGCCTTCCCAATCCAAGGAAGCAGTTTAGTTGTCTTAGGTATGATTGAGCGGCATACCCATTCTGCGTTGTTTTCACCCTTATTCTTTCCCAGTCCCACCCAAACTCAGAACACCTCTTGTCTGGGCATCTCCAGTGCCCTTTGGAGCCCCCCCTTTATTGTCCACAAACTACCATTTATATTCTTGAACTTTTCAACCAACATTTCTTTTCCTGCCTTGATACAACAGAAACCTAGCTTTCCCTTGGGGGCGCCACATTGTTTGCAGTCCTTTCCCCTAGTGACCGGTCCTTCTTCCACTGCCCTTGGCTTACGAGGCCAGGGAGAAGTGGGTTCCCCTAGCCACTTCCAGATCACCATTCCTAAGTGTCATTTTGATGTCCGTGAGACTCAGTTATCACTCCTTTCCCCACCCATCTACCATCCTATGGGTCTTTCTGTTTTTCTTTCCTTGCTTTTTGGTGAGGCAGTCAGGGTTAAGTGACTTGCCCAGGTCCACACAGCTGTGTCTGAGGTCACATTTGAACTCAGGTCCTTCTGACTCCAAGGCTGGAGCTGTATCCACTGTGCCACCTCGCTGCCCCATCTTTCTCTTTTTCAGTGAGTCCTTGGCTTCTGGTCTTCTTCCCATAATCTGTCATCAGTCCGTGGACTTTGGTAATCATATTACAACAAGTGATCATCGAGCTCTCGGACATCTTCCACCTCCACAAGCTGCATTTCTGCCCCCATTTCAGCCCCATGCCAATGTGATTGTCTTGGGCCCCACCATCTTAGAGAATTATGCTGCCTTCTGCATTCCGCACTCTGGAGTTCTGCTCTCTGGTAACAGTCTCCTGGAACGTGGACACTAACACTGGCCTTTCCCCGTCCTCATTCTGACGCTAGGTCTCCCTCGCCATCCCCATTCTCTCAGTCTCAGCACCGCTGCACTTGCCTCTGTACCCACATTTGGGTGCTTAAGCCGGTAATCTGGCAATTTCTTTTATTTTGAATCTGCTGACTCTGCTTCTGCCGATATAAACGGAGGTCTAGTCCCCCCTCCTGCTTTATTGATTCCTTATCTTCCTCAACACAGCTGCTGGTGGGAACTTGCCCTCAGTCCTCAATGTTCTGACCAACCCCCAAACAGAGCAGAAGACCATGGGGAAGATTGAGAGGACTCCCGCATTCTGCAGGCGCCTCATGTGCAGATTTTGTTCTGGCCCCTGGTACAGAGGAAGAGAGATGTCTAATCACAATCAATGGGCTAATTCCTCTGCCTGCCTCCCTCTGCTAGGACCTTGCTGTGGGTCCCAGGGCCTTCTGTCCTCATGCATCTTTATTTTCTCTCTCCTTCTTCATCTTTTCAGTAGCTAGCCAAGGACTCTACACACAGCTGGTGCTACACACACCCACCCACACCCACCCACACCCACAGTGCGGATGAAGGCCTAAGGATCTGGAACCAAACCAGATCTTGAAAACCAGCTGTGCCACGTGACAGTCTTCCTTCCTTTAGGCCAAGGCTTTTTAAACTTTTTCTACTCTAGACCCTTTTTGTGCTTTGGCAGACAGCATCGTTGGCATTTCATGGCCTGAGGGCATGCGCAGTGCAAAGTGCACATGCTTTGTGTTCAGACCAAGGATACAGTGAAGTTGCTCCAGGCAACACAGGCCATTGCTGCCAGAAACCCCCGGATTCATTTTGTGTTTGATTTTCAATTAATTTTTAGTCTTTGCGTATTCAGAAACCTTTTTCTGTTGCTGGATTTTTCGTGATCCCGTATGGGGTCTGGACCCACGGTTTAAGCAGTGCTGCTCTAGGCTAGGGGTGACCTGGGTCGTTCTCAGTTGGAATAGAGGCAATGGATCATTCTCTTCTTGTGCTTTAGGGCTCGGGCCCTTGGAGTGACATGGGTCATTCCTTCAGCTTATTCCTCCCCAGGGTGCTTTTAGCTCACGTGGCGATAGATGAAGGGGATGCAGGCAGTCTTCCATAGTAAAAGCGTTTGTCCTGAAGACAGAGAAGGTGGCTCTCTGCTCAAGCTTGTTATAAACAGAGCAATTTCTTCACTGTTTGTGTAAAAACAGCTTTATTAAAACAGTTAATTCCAAGCTAATTGCTCTTTGGAGCGTTGTTAAGTCAAACATTCCAAGATACAAATAGGGTTTTCTTCCTTCCTAATTGTTAAGTTTTCCTTTAATAGTTTCTTCTTATCCCACTCTTACGTTCAGACCCTAATTAGAATGTTCCTTTCTAACTCAGGCTGAAGCTTAGCTTGGGGCCAGAATCCTTCTTGGCTTTGGAGATCCTTTGGGGTCTTCCGGAGCCAGGCGTTTCTTGGCCTTTTCCTTTTTTTAATTCCCAAAGGAGAGAAACTGAAGGGGGTGGAGGGAGGGACAAAGTGGTCGCCTCTTTCTCTCAGGTCCCTATTCTGACCTTTCCCTCTTCCTCTGAAGAGGAAAATTATGCCAGGTATATAGGGGGAAAGTCCATCCAGTGACACAATTCAGGGGATTCTCCCTGACCTTTGAAAACAACTTCACTTTCACTTTTTTTCTTTCTGAAGAGAAGATGCCCTCCTGGGTAAACTTAATCTGTGCAGGTACAGAGGTTGTCTAGTGACTCTATTTAGCTGATTTTGTCAGTAAAGATTCTGGTCAGAGCCCAGGAGCCTGCCTACCCTTAGGAGAGAGGGAAGCTGAGAGACAGAACCTTGGAGAAGGAAGATAATAATAAGCATGATAACAATGATAATATTCCTGAGCAGCTTGGTCCTGGGCCCTAACCCAGTCAGGCCTGACAAGATGGCCCCATCATCTGATGTGGATCCAGAAGAGTCCTGGAAAGAGGACTGTCCCTTTTCCTTAGCTCAGAATGTAAGGATTTGACCCTATCATGCTTGGATAGGGCCTCTCAAATTCTGAGGCCTTTGCCCCCACTTCCTAATGGCCCCCTTCCCAGCTGTTTCCTGTTGCCCCAGAAAACCCTTGCTGGAAACTAGACCTGCTCCCCAGCTCCTGGCCTCCCCTAAATCAACTGAAAGAGCTTAATTTCCTGCCTCTGGTCCAAATGAGGTAGAGTCTTATACACAGTTGTCTGCATTGATCACACATTTTACCTGTGCCTGCAGCCTTCCTCAAGTCCCCATGACCAGCTTGCCTGTCCAAAAAGACAGATAATTAAAAGGGACTTACGTGTCTTACAACCAAATACAAAGTTACCTTAGTTTAAACGTAATTAAACACTAGGAAAAGGATGGTTTTGGTAATGTAAGATCATACATCTAGAGCTGAAAGTGCCTCAGAAACCATCTAGTCAAACCCCTGCATCTTACAGATGAGGAAACTGAGGTTAGGTGACAAGGTCACACACCTCCTCCTGGGGTGCACTTTCTGTGGCATGGGTTGTGTTCTGCACACAGCTGCTTCAGAAGCTCCCGTGGAATATGTGAATGCATTGTCCATGCATTAAGGTTTGCCATAAAGACTGCATAGATTCCTTCTGATTCCCTTAGACCCAGGCATCAAGGGCATTAATATGACATCATTTAGACACATTTTTCCTTTTCTCATGTGGACCATCTTTTCCTTTCCCAGCTGATTTGAAAAGAACTATTGCCGTCCTCTTGGATGACATTTTACAGCGCTTGGTGAAACTGGAGAGCAGAGTGGACTACATTGGGGTCAGTGACGCGTCTGCCAACATCACCAATGGCACCAGCGGGAATCTCCTGCCTGGAACTCCCAGTAAGAGGATCAATGCGTCGGGCCACATCAGATAGCGGCCTGAGAGTCCCTCGGCCACGACATGAGCCCCGGCCCGTGGCTCGTCTCCCCCCTCCAGGAATGCTGTGGAATCTCTCTGGCTTGGGCAGGAGCCGTCGTTGGCTGCATAAAGGTGGTCTACGTGATGTTTTCCAAGGAGTGTATGGGAACCATGGAACACTTCTGTATATAATTGAAAGAGGTGATTGATGTGTTACTTTCAGGCAAGTTTCTGCCTTTGCTGGTCTTTGTCGCGGCCCCAGTGCTGGTGTAATAAGCAGGTACCTGGCTTACAAGGCTCTTGTGTTTGGGGCGAAGCTCAAACCATTCAAACGACGTAGGAGCTAATTTCCATATTTATTTAAGTAGAAGTATATGTCTTTTGGACAAGTGGAAAATATTGTAGTTGAATCGTTTTTTTCATCTTTTCAACAGACATAACTCATAAATGTTAAACTAATGCTGTTGGGAAATGTGTATATTTACAGTATTATATTTTGTTACCTAGTTGTTGATAGAGAATCAGATATGATGTCGAGAATGTTTGAAAATCACGACCCAAAGAATGTCTTTATTTGCACTATTTGCCAGAATATCTAAAGAGAGATTGCTGTATATTTAAACATTTTGTTTGCCAGAGCATTACCTTGAAAATAGTGTAGCAACTACTGTCCAGAACATATGTGGTGCAGACGTTGGAACAATTAAATTGTCAACAGCTAAGTGAATATAATCTCATACTTAGATATTTTGGGTTCTTTTCTTTTCAGGTAGGTTAAGTGACTTGCCCAGGGTCACATAGCTAGTGAGTATCAAGTGTCTGAGGCCAGATTTGAACTCAGCCCCTCCTGACTCCAGGGCTGGTGCTCTATCCACTGTGTCACCTAGCTGCCCCTACATATTTCGTTCTCTTAGCCACATTCTAAGAAAAAAAAAATTTATAGTAGTTAATTAAAATAATTAATTTAAATGAAGAATTATGGTTTCCAGATATGTGAATATTTCCATGATTTCTCTTTTCATGTTGAACTCCTGGACAGTTTGTGCTGGCAGCCTGGTGCATCCTCTCTTTATTCTGGGTTATTTTTTTCTGGTACTGAATTAAAGGGAGAAACATGAGTCTAGTCTGGGAACTCAAGGAGGAGATTGAGGATGTTTCTCACAAGGAGAGGTGCTGGGGAGGGAGTCTGGTGAAATGGAAAGTCAGGGAAATGTTGGTTCTTACATGTGGACCCTCCTTTCAGGGAATTTAATGTGACAATCTG